AAGGCAAAGGCAGCAGTGTGAGGTGGGCCATTGGAGTGGATGGGTGGATTAGTGTGGATTTGGGGGAGCAGAAGGCTGAAGGCAGCAGCACATCTGGCCCTTCTTGCCTGAGCCCTGAGCGTGATGGATGTGACTGAACACAGCTGGGAAGGTTTGTCAGCAGCTTACTCAGCTAAGTGTCACCTAACCAGATTCCTTGCCTCTCTGGAGGAGGTGTCAGGTGCCACCTTTCTTAGTCACCGTGGGAAGGGTAGACTGGCACATCCTCAAGCAAGATGAACAAACCACCATCAGGCTTGGAAAGATTTGACTGACCACTTGTCCTGCGTGGGAATGGAGAGGAACAGAGATGATATTCAGAGTATGGGCTGCCTGAAATGCTTCACTTGCCCAGCAAGTGCCTCCCCAGGCTGCCAGAAGGTTTGAAGAGTGCTGGAGGGCAGATGGCCAGCGGTGCTTTACAAGTCTTAATGTTCACCAAGTATCAGCCTGCACTGTGAAGTGCTGTGGGAGCAGCACTGTTTTGGCCTATGTTCTCTTTGACATGGAGAGGCCTGGTGGGATTGAAAAGTCAAGGATTTGCTGCTTGTTGGGAGATCCTCTGATGGCTTGACTGCAGGAAGAAGTTCTGCTACTAACCCCAGCACTTACCTGTCTCAGGAACACCACTGGTGAGGGAGACGTGTCTGCAGCCTGGCTATCAACACCTTGCTGCAGAAAGCTTCGTTGACAACATCCTGACCACCCCACATGCAGCACCCCTTTGTCCTGCCCCGTGGGTGCTTGCTGATAGTGTGAACAAGCCATTGTGAAGTCGGGACTCCTGTGGACTGTGATGCTTTCAGCATGCTTGTTTTGTCTGGCAGTGCTGTCATGGGTGGAGCATGGGCCAAACAGCCAGAACCTCCAGTGTGCTGATCTCAGCTGGGTCTCTGATCTGCTGCATGGCCTTTGATTTAATCACTCTGTGCCTCAGTTTCCCCATCTCTGAGCATGGGGAGCAGGATACCTACCTCACAGGGGTGTACTGAGGCCTCGCTCTCGTTGGTGCCGTGCTTTGACAATACAAAGCCTTTTATAAACATTCAACTACAGTTATCTTTCTTGGCCTGGGGTAGGAGCAGAATGTTATCTTTTGGTGCTTTTTTGGGGCTAGAACACAGGCAATGGTAACTGAGAAATGCTTCAGTTAGAGGTTTCAGACTTGGAAGGAGACTAGTGTAAGTTTGGTTAAACTGAAGGAAGCACTGTGTACCTCAGATGGGATGCCACCTGTCTTCTCCACCTTAAATGAAACCGGGGTCTGCAGGAAAGCCCCTCTCAGTTCATCACAGCTAGCAGGGAGCTGCAATTCTGTTGAATAAAAGAGTGGCAGAACCTTACCCCTGAATCTAGGAAATGGGACCAATGGATGAAATCCAAACAGCATTTAGAGAAGGACTTAAATGCCCCCTAGGAAGGACGTTACAGATGCTCTGGATTCAAAAGCTAATCCTGGCTTGCTCGGGTGAGCCGAGTGCAGGATTGCCTGTGAAAGGAAAGGGCACAGCTTAGCCCTGACATCACTTTATCAGCGGAGGTCAGTGTGATGGAGTTGAGCAGCAGTGATTATGTTCCAGCTCAGTGTTGAGTTGGGAGGAATCCAGGTAGCTGGGGAACTGCAGGCCCCCTGCTTTGTAGGCTGTAGTGACCCTGGGGTCTGTAGTGCTTTCAGGTGACCCTGTACACTTCATGAAAGGGCATTTTCAGAATCCCTGTCACTATCACAACAGCCTTGTGGGCAAACTCAGTCGTGCTATGATCTGCAATGACCTCGAGTACTGTGTGCAGTTTTGGGTGCCACAATACAAAAAAGACATTCAGCTATTGGAGAGCACCCAAAGGAGAGCCACGGGGATGGGGAAGCTGTGGGAGGAGTGGCTGAGGTCACTTGGTCTGTTCAGCCCGAGGAGACTGAGCAGAGACGTCACTGTGCTCTGCAGCATCCTCCCGAGGGGCAGGTACCTGTCTCCTCACTCGCCACCAGGGACAGGACCCACGGGAGTGGCATGAGGCTGAGTTAGAGGAGGTTTAGGTTGGATATCAGGAAAAGATTCTTCACCCAGAGGGTGGTTGGGTACTGAACAGGCTCCCCAGGTAGTGGGCACAGCACCAAAGCTGTCTGAGTTCAGGAAGCCTTTGGACAATGCTCTCAGACACGTGGGGTGACCTGTGCAGGGCCAGGAGCTGGACTCAGTGATCCTTGGGGTCCCTTCCAACTCAGCCTGTTCTGTGATTCTGTACACATGCATTTCCAGCCCCTGCCTCTTGCAGGCTTTGTTTCTGGGATTCTCAGAACACCCAGAGCAGCTTTTGAGGATGCAGGAGCTCATCTTTGGGCATCTGTTTGCAAATTGTGGCTTCTTTGCGTGTGTCCTGCTTTTCTGTGAGGAATGGAGTTTCAGAAAAAGTCCTGAATCTGGCCCTCAAGCAGGCAGGTACAGAACCTCTTGTTCTTAATGGGGTTCTTGTAGTGGAGATCTGTTGCTACATTTCTGAGCAACCACAGGTTATTCTCCTAGGAGATGCTATATTATTAGTATATAAAGTTTGCTGAAGAAAAATAAACTGTTAAAAGCAGATAGAAAATGACACATTTGTTTAGTTCTTCAGATGTAGGAAATGTTTGCAATGAGTTCTTTGCATTTTGAATAGTGGTGGGAGAAAGATTTGTTGGTGAGAAGTTCCTGTGGGAATTGCTTGGAGATAAGATAGAGGTTGTGGAATTTCACACATCCCTTCAGGTATTTGTGGAATGCAACAGGTGCGGTGTGTTGAAATGTTACAGTATATTTCTCTGGCTTTCTGAAGAGTTAAAGATCTCTTTACGAATATTGCCCCTATTTGTAATGCTGAGTGTTTAAATCCTTCATGTTATCTGTATTATACTGTATAATTGTGTAATATACGTATGTTTACAATAAATTCTTTTATTAGCTGTGCTAGGATTGCCTTGACTGTCACCTGTCACTCAGAGTTTCTCCAGATCCACAGATATCTTTGTACCCTGTGTATTCAGAATGTCGTAGTTAGTTCTGGATTCTTATCCAGAGGAATTGATCTGAAGGAAAAGGTAATTTCCCCCTTTTCTAGTTATTTTAAAAAGCAACTGGTTTTGGAAGCTGGGGGAGGGGAAGCCAGGAACTGAGCTCCTCAGAAGTTTTTATCTTCCAGAGGAGCCTGTTAAAATAACAAATTGTTGATTTTGGAAGACGACTGAAAAGTAACGTGGGTTGAGGTTGGCCCAGCTGCCAGATGCCCACCCAGCCACTCTCACTCCCCTTCAGAACTCAGGAGAAAGTAACATGTCTTACATGGGTCAGGATAATGTACCACAGAATCATTCAGTTTGGAGAACACCTCTGAGGTCAGCCAGTCCAACAGTGGCTGCCAAGCCCACCATTAACCATGTCCACAAGTGCCACAGCTATGAGTCTTTTAAATGCCACCACAGATGGGGATGCCACCACTGCCCTGGCCAGATCAACGAAGTCCTTGGATAAAAACAGGGACGTTGTGTACTGGTTACTGCCATCGGCAAAACAGGCTCGACTTGGAAAATTAGTTGAACTTATTGCTGAATAGAAGATGAATGGTGAGAGGCAAAGACATAAAAAAAATAAACCGCCAACTCCCCACAAAAAACCGGAAAAAAGCCCCCAAAACCCGAAACTGCTTTTCCCCCGACTTCTT